ATGGTGCAAAATATTAGAGGAAATGATTAATTTTCTATGATAATAATAGTCAAAAGAGAAAATTAATTCCTATGGATGTATTTGCTTGTGCAATTATATTTAGTTTGCTAATACATTTTTGTCAATAAAAATGTTGATCTAAATTTTCTTCAATGAAACATGAGATCGCATCATGAGTAATTGTTCAAAAATTATTTTAATGCACTCTTTAGATAAAATTTTGGCTACGCGACGATTGCGAAAGGTTAGGAATATTTGTAGTTCAAGGATGGCGGAGGAAAGTAATAGCTAGCAGAGGCGGAGCTACATGTAACCTAGGGTGGGCCCCGACCCCCGGGAATGGTCCCGGCCCCTAGGTTTTTAAGGATATTCAATAAAAATTGTATAAGTAGACTGGTTTTGTAAATCTTATTGTGTATTAGTCATGTGGTCTAATGATAGCTAATCTTAATTTGTGTTTTAAAGCACATGGGTTCGATCCACCTTGGCCAGATACATATTGTTTAATTATTTTCGGGCCCCCAGTCTCGAAACCGGCTCCGCCCCTGATAGCTAGTCGGAAAACTTGTCTAGAAACTTTGAGAAAACAAGAAAAATGGTTGAAAATGCGTTAAATAAAGTACAACGTTTCAGTTTCACAAACCAAAATGCATAATACCGGAAAAAAGTGAAATTATTAAAGGCCAATACGACAGTGCCGCTATTAAAAATGCGGCACCGGTGCCCCACTCTGTGATTCGTCCACCTGTACATGACATGGCGCTGATTTAATTTATTAAATAAGGCCATATCCAATAAACCATATGACCGGCCCAAACCAGCATCTCTCCAGAGTGACGGAGAACCTATATGCCGTCTTCCCACTTCCCGACCGTTTGCCGTTATTTTATTTTCATTTATTCAGTTAAAACTCGTTTAAATTTTAAATGCATATATTTCTGATTTCTCCAAGAAGTGAACACAAAAAGCAAATGAAAAGGCAAAAAAAATTGAAACTCCTTCACCGTGTTCCTCCTCCTACATTCATTCTGCAAAACAATTCGATGAATCTCTGATTCCTCTCTGTCTCGGTCGAGCTGCTCTACTGCCACCGTACAAGACGATCTGATCCTTCCCTCTGCGTCGTCCCTTTTCGGGCTGCGCGCCCGATCCCACTGTCGGAATCGTGTAAAAACCCAAAGTTGGTTCGTTGTTCATCATGGAGGAATGAGAAGAGCCCATGCTTGAAGGAAAACAGGATATGCAACTTGCAAGGCGTTGTTTGCTCTTTTTTTTTTTGGGTGAAAGTGTTGTTTGCTCTTTAGAAAGAAAGAAATCATGTCCCATGATGTGTTGCAATTATAAAGCCTGTAAATTAAACTGAAGGTATATAGATTGTTATAAACGCGCTGCTACAGATCGGGAAATCGCCGGAATCGACAAAGCAAGAATACGAAAGCGAGAACCGAAAACACGACACACGATTTACGTGGTTCACTAACACGATGTGTGTTAGCTACGTCCACGGGCGAGAGAGAGCCGATTTCACTATATCAAGGAGATTTCAGATTACAGAGGAGTATGAGAAGTATTTATAGTACTTCTCCATGTGGGTCTAAACCTAATCCAAACTGCCAAAGGAAACGGTTACAGACCAGGCCCAGAACCCGAACCCAAATAACATTGAGCCCATACACCGTGGGCCGGGGGCGTTGCCCCTGGACCCCACTCGCTGACCGGGCAGCGAGACCCCGATTACCAGTCGTAGCGGATGATAGTCCGATTCAAGTCACATCAACATAGATCTTTTTTCATAACTCAGCCTTTCACACCATTATCATCTAGGATAGATGCTCAGTACTGTACTGTTGCCCACGACTACCAAGTTTGATAGGAGAGAAGCTGAGGTGTACCTTTTTTTGTCTGTGTAAAGCAAAATGTAGCTTTTGTTGAGAATGAAGTACGAGAAACTCGATTAATAGGGTGGTTCTCATTCTACTTACTGGTTAACATCAATACAAAACTACATGTTGTTTGATGTAAAGACCTCAATAATTTGTTAAATTATAATTCATCTAGCAACAAAGTAGGCCACTGATGCCTAAATTAGCCTCCCTTATCCTCCTCCTTGAAGAACGAACTTATGTTTTATACAGAGCATGTACAGCTACAGAAACTGGAGGGCTCTCCAGGAACAGATCATCGCAATTCTGCATCTCAACACCCTCCACCTTGATGTAAACCAGTCATGCCTGCAACTGCAACAATTTTCGATCGAAAGTGCAAACCAGTCATGCCTGCTTCTCTAATTTGTCCTTAGAAACTCATCTCTTGTCATTACAAACCTTAGGTTTCCACAGCTAACAACAGGAAACAACAAGCACAGAATTAGAGAAGTAACTTACGAAATCACCTACATGAAAGTTAGATATAAGAAATAAACTCTACAAGCTCCTCCATGATGGCTATGCACCATGATACGACATGTCTAATTGTGTAACATTGTGTTTGTGTCGAGAGTAGTGAACAACAGAGTCGGGCAATGTAGATAATTATGTTTCAAATGCCCATACCAAATGAGCTAAAATGCAGCAAGCATATTACAATACGTGTTAGCAGATAGTGAATAATGCTAGGGCCACCCTAAGCTCTAAGAGGGGCATGTCCTACCCGCCAGTTATCGTGCCAAAGTTGCTTGCTCAGCTGCTGCTCCTGCTAGGTTTTTCCCGGAGGAAACTCGACTCCAAGCATTGCAGACCATAATATTTCCTCACATCAGTAAAGACACATTCACCAGCCCAGGGATCTGCAAGAACAGAAATAGTTGGGGAAAACTTCCAACTTTTTGTTTAGATGCCCTCTATGAAGTCGTTTGTGTTGATGAGTGCTCAGTGCATACACTTAAGACCTGTCATGTAGAAAAGAACAACTAGCTAAAAATTTCAGTAGCTTCAATTGACCTGATTGTTCAAGAACCATGAAAGCAAAACAATACCAAAATGCACATCAAAAGCTTCTCACCTACTCTCAACCCCTGAAATCATTGAACCGCCAATGGTAGAGCTAGCAGATTCACAAACGACATCAACGAAAGAATCATGTTTGTAGGAGGAAGTTCAAGTCAGCGGTAGCTAAGCTTACCCTCCACCTACCAATCTAAAGGTAAACTGGAATCAATGCCAGAGCAGATAGCATAAACAAACAACCAAATAACGGAAATCTTCCAGATAAGAAAATACCCTCCCACCTTGCAATATGCAGCAGGCCACTGCCAATACAACCATCTCCAGACAGGAGAAAGAAAAGAATAAACTGAAATAGAGAAGGGGAGAACAACATCATAATCAATGTCGGAGGGAGCAGTGAGGGATTTCAATCCAGGCGATAGTAGACCGGGAGATGGGATCGACGACGGACAAGTCGCCGGGAAAGATTTTGTAGAGACCGCTGGCGAGGGAGATCGATGAACTGTGCTTGTAGATCCATGTTTTCTGTTTTCTAATTTTGCCAAAAAAACAGTTACATGAATTTTAATTTAATTAATTAACATAAAAACGAAAACAAAACGTTGAACGGAGTTACGGAGAATCCTTTCGCCCGGTTGGGCTACTTCTAAGTTCTAACGGGCCACCTGGGGTTTGGTTGGGATTAATTAAACAAAATCAACGCCACCTCATATCCACGTGGACCAATGAAAGGTCGCGTCACCGGTATCGCACTTTTATTGGCGGCACCGTAGTATTGGCCATTATTAAATGATATATTGAGACACAATATATGTAAGGAAAATGTACTATTATTAATAGGAAAATATATTGAAAAAAGAAATTCGCTCGTAATTCTTCCAGTTCAAGTTTGAAACTGATGAAGCTAATAGATTGCTGATACAAACACTAATGAATTACAGCCTACAATAGCGAAGGACGGGAATTGACAGGAAAATAAGAAACTAGAATGGGAGGCCGCCTAGCTGCAGCTACTTCGGCTGCCGCTCCTATTACTACTTGATCAGCTACAGGCTTCTGGGACGAGGAGGACTTGCTTTTACTCCGACTACCCTTCTTCTTCTTATTATTATTATTTGATGATGATGACGACGACGATGAGGAGCTGCTGTTCCTGCTAGCATTAGGGAAACAACAGCTGGATGACAAAGCTCCACCCATACTGATCTAGCTTGTGGAAATGAGTACACTACTTTCCGTACAACAAATTGCCAATGAGAATGAGAGCAGATGGAGGATGATGGGAATGGATTTGCCTCTCCCTTCTTCACATTTATAATAACATTGGCTTGCGGTGCAAGTCTGTGAGATTATACTAGAGATGGAGCCTTTCCTCTTTCTTTCCTCTGCTTTCTCCAAATTCTCTTGCTCTTTCAGTGGTGGACCAAATTCACGGAGGGAGATAGAGGGAGGCTTTTTCCTAGACGCCCTTTTAGTATGATCCATGAAACCGTACCGGATATCGTACCGGAAAAGTCAATGGTATGATATTTTGTGATAAAACCGTGGTTTAATCGTAGTTCAACTGTTAGACCGTTAAATACCACCTATTGATTTAGCCTCCAATACTGATATTTCGTAGTTGAACCGTCGGTACGGTACGATTTCATGAACTATGCCTTTTAGGCGTTCATTTTTTCGGGGTAAAATCATTTATCTGTAGTTAATTGGATTCACTTGGGCAGTGGGTGAACTAATTTAAAGGGGCTGGGGAAATGTAATAGACGGAGCCCAGTTGGAGTATTTACAGTAGAGAAAAGCCCAATCAATCTTTCTTCAATTCCAGATCCAAAGTCCATTCCGCGCCGAAAATGGGGGTTCCGCTCGCGAGACACAGTTTATGTCCTTGGTTTCGCCGTCGATTCGTCCGATAGGTACACAGTCTTGGGGAGGAAACGAATCCTAATAAGAAATCGTAAAGAACAGCCCATAGAGGAGACAGACGAGCGGCGAGAGGCTAAGACGAACCTAATCTGTTTATATAGGAAAGCAAACAGCCGGAGAGGGAAGGAGAAGATGACAGTAAAGATCGTAGACGCAAGCTTGTCGAGCTTCGATCAAGTAGTCAGCAAGTTCAAAGCAGAGGCCTCCAATTTCAGCTCCAACTTCATCCTCTTCCTTGCCGATAATGATCCTTCCAGCTGGTGCCCTGGTGAGTCCTGTTAGAGTAGTCAAAGAGTAAAGAAAATACCAGGGAGAAGGAAAGTGCAAGTTGTTTTTAAGTTTGTTTTCCACTTTAGTTATTGGATAAAGTGGTTAGTGGGCTTTTGGAAAAAAGTGTGAGCTATTTAATTTGACATATTAAATCGCACTTAGCACGTTTGCGCGACGCGTTCGGATTGGAATTTTTGGCTAATTAATTACTGAAATTATTTTAATTAATTAATCCGGATAATTATTTGAATTTTGACTTTTGTGAAACGACGTAACCCTTCGGAAGAGAACTGTCGTTTTCACTATAAAAGTCTTCTGCAGCCAAACTTCTCGTCCAACGTTCATCTTCTTCTCCTCGTTTTTTCCTTCTCAAAAAACACAAACACAGAAGTCACGAAAGGTGCTGCTTTCTGACTTTGATTGGAGGGACTCCTGGGGGTGGTTTGCCTAAATCCTACTAGCAACTAAGTAATGGGGGCAAATAAACACTCTAAGGAGAGTGATCAGAATCACGTCTTCAATCCGTTTTATCCATATTGTTTCCCTGACAATCTTAGAGTGTTTATTTTCGCGTGACAATGGATTCTGGAGTGTAGAGCACTTTGAAGGCGTATGCCTCTGATTCCAACAAACTCAATCAGTTTGATGGAACCAATTTCACTCGCTGGCAAGAGAAGATGAAGTTTTTGTTAACTGCTTTGAAGATCGTGTACATACTGGATCCTGATTTGGTGCCGCTAGGAGAACCACAAGATACTCACTCTGATGAATTGAAGGCTCAGCGCAAAAAAAAGGAGTGATGACAGCCTACTGTGCCAAGGATAAATCCTCAATTCACTCTCTGATCGTCTATACGATCTGTATTCCCAGTTGGCGACCCCTACTGAGATTTGGACATCTTTGGAGAACCAGTATAAATCAGAGAAACAAGGCGCATATAAGTTTGTCACATTCCAGTTCTTTGAACTTAGCATGACTGATAAGCGTTCAATTCTGGATCAAGTTCATGAGTTCCTAATCTTGGCCTCTAAGTTCATTGCGTTGAAGATAACTCTTCCTGATGCGTTTCTGGTGGGGGCAATTATTGCGAAGTTGCCTCCATCATGGAACAACTATAGGAAGAAATTACTTATGGCTAGACCTGGCAAACGGGTCGGGTTGGGTAATTTTGGGTTGGGGACTTTGGTTACGGGTCGGATCATGTTTGGTTGCCTGATTTCGGGTCAAATATTGACCCAACATATTCGGTTTCGGGTCGGGTTACAGGTCATTTCGAGTTATGAGCGTTCTCAGAAACAATATCAAACATGTTTCATATTTTCTTACAGAACACAAATTTTCACATATGCATGACAATGGTTTACCTAACACATGTCAATTAACATATTTTCAAATCCTCTCATGCTAAGGAAATGAAATACAAATTGCGCAAATCGTCAAAAAACAATCACAAGAGTAATACTACTACAAGAAACACATTATATTTGATTATCCTTAAACTCCAAAACATGTCATTCAAATCCTTGTGTCTTTTTTTAACATCTCGCCAATTTATGAGTGATTTTATCATTTAGGGAGTGATATATAAATTGGAACGGGTCTAACGGGTCGACCCGCTAACCCACCCAACCCGACCCAAAAAATTACGGGTTATCGGGTTCGGGTCATTCGGATTTCGGGTTACAAAAATATCTAATTTTCGGGCGGTTTCGGGTCGGGTCAACGGGTCGGGTTGTAATTTGCCAGGTCTACTTATGGCATAATCGATTGGGGCATGTTAACTTTTAAGACTCAGAAATACATGTCTAGAAATGGTTTAGTAGTTTGTGGTGATGACAGTGGAGATAAATGTGAAATCTGTGTGCAAGCTAAGATGAAGCGAAAGCAATTTCCTAAGTCGGTTGACAGAAAATCAGAATTGTTAGAATTAGTACATTCTGATATTTGTGAATTTCATGGTCAATTAACTAGAGGAGGATGTAGGTACTTCATTACTTTCATTGATGATAGTACTCGATTTACCTATGTCTATTTAATGCGAACCAAGGATAAAGCATTTGATAAGTTTAAATTGTATAAATCTATTGTTGAAACTCAAAAGGGTAGGAAAATACAAATCCTTCAAAGTGACAGAGGTGGAGAGTATTTTCCAAATAACTTTAATGAGTTTTGTGAGCAACATGGTTTAATACATCAAAGGACTGCTCCGTACACCCCACAACAGAATGGAGTATCAAAAAGAAAAAATGGAGTTCTTTCTTACATGATTAATGCTATGTTGATGAATGCTAGTGCTCCAAACAATTTGTGGGGTGAGGCTTTGCTAACAGTCTGTCATGTACACAATAGGATTCCGTCTAAGAAGCTAAGGGAATCTCCCTATGAGTTGTGGAAGGGAAGGAAACCGAACTTGAGTTATCTTAGAGTTTGAGGTTGTCTTGCTTTCTACAGAGTCCCAGATTCTAAGAGAACTAAGTTAGGACCACGAGCTTTGAAAGGTGTTTTTCTTGGATATGCAGAAAACTCAAAATCCTATAGGGTTCTAGATTTAGAATCTAATGTGGTTGTGGAATCGAGAGATGTTGAGTTCTTTGAGAACAAGTTTCGACATGACTCTACAAATGTAGAACCATGTAGAGTTACTTCTGTAGATTCCTCAAATGAGTCTATCTCTGCTCCCGCTTTTGATATTGGTTCTAGTAGCAAAAGGCCTTTAGATGACCTTGTTGCTAATGAACCATGCATAAGTCAAAGGTCTAGAAAGGAAAAGAGTTTTGGTCCACAATTTATTGATCCTCAAGATATAGTCTTTCCTGTAGAGGGAGATAGGTTAAATAAGGTTACAAGAAAGATACCCATTTTGTTCCATGTGCAAGACGATCCCAAAATCTATCAACAAGCAATGGCTTCTAGAGATTCTTCTTTTTGGAATGAGGCTGTCAATGATTAGATGGATTCGTTATTAATAAATAAGACTTGGGTTCTTGTGGATCTGCCTCCTGGATCTAAGGCTATTGGATGCAAATGGGTATTTCGCATTAAGTATAACACGGATGGATCAATACATACCTTCAAAGCTAGGTTGGTTGCAAAAGGGTTTAGGCAAAAGGAAGGAGTAGATTGCTTTGACACCTATGCACCAGTTGCAAGAATCACTTCCATAAGAGTGCTTTTAGCTTTGGCTTCTATTTATAATTTGCATGTACACCAAATGGATGTAAAGACGGCATTCTTAAATGGTGAGTTAGATGAAGAAGTGTATATGGAGCAACCAGAAGAGTTCGTGTTGCCTAGAAATGAAGGAAAGGTGTGTAAATTGCAAAAGTCATTGTATGGACTTAAGCAAGCACATAAACAATGGCATGAGAAATTTGATTCTGTTGTTTTGGCTCATGGATTTTCTCATAACTCTGCTGATAAGTGCATTTATTCAAAGTGCACAAAAGAGAATATGGTCATTATATGCCTTTATGTTGATGATATGTTTATAATAGGAACTAACATAAAAGGCATAAATGAGACCAAAGAGTATCTAACTTCCTTCTTCCAAATGAAAGATCTTGGAGAAGTAGATATTATATTGGGCATCAAGTAAAGAAACATAGTGGGGGGTTTTGCTTTGAGTCAGTCACATTATGTCGAGAATATGCTCAAGAAATTCGAGCATTTGGATATAAAGGAGGCTACCACCCCTTATGATGCATCTTTTATGCTTTGTGCGAATGAGGGAAGGGCAATGGCACAAGTTGAGTATTCTAGTGCTATTGGAAGTTTGATGTATGCAATAGGATGTACTAGGCCCGATATTGCATTTGCGGTGGGCAAACTTTCTAGATTCACTAGTAATCCTAGTGCTAATCATTGGAGAGCTATTGGAAGAGTCTTTGGTTATTTGAAAAGAACCAAAGATTTGGGACTCTTCTATAGCAACTTCCTGGCTGTACTAGAAGCATTTTCTCATGCTAGTTGGATCACGAGCGCTAGTGATAATAAATCCACAACAGGATGGATTTTTACACTAGGTGGTGGAGCTGTTTCTTGGGCTTCGAAGAAACAAACATGTATTACACACTCCACTATGGAAGCCGAATTCCTAGCCCTTGTGGCGGCTGGAAAAGAAGCAGAATGGCTAAGAAACATGTTGTTAGATATAGAGTTGTGGCCACAACCGATGCCAGCCATTTCTGTCTTCTGTGATAGTGAGGCTACATTGTCTAGAGCTTATAACAAGATTTACAACGGTAAGTCTAGACACATTAGCCTAAAACATGATTACGTTAGGTATTTGATTACTAACGGAATCATTTCTATTGTGTATGTAAGGTCATGCAACAATTTGGCAGATCCTCTTACAAAGGGGTTGCCAAGAGGCATGATCTATGAGACATCCCAAGGGATGAGATTGAGACCTTTTGTATAGTAAGAAGTAATGGAAACCCAACCTTTTCTTTAGATATTCACTAATTAAAAGGTTCAATGTGGTAATAAGTAATAACAAGTTACTCTAACTGGGAACTAGTTTATTGTACAAGTAAATTAGATGTAAGATAGTTGAGTTATAGAACTCTTAATGACGTTCATTTGGAATGTCACCTATGTGAGCATTTGGAGTGGTGCCGCTCTAACAAAAGTAAAGATCAACTTTTGTATATGCTCATGAAACAGGATAAGCACATGGCCATAATAGTGCTACCCTTGTTGGTGGTTGTGTTTTAGAGAAGAGACGAGTACGTGTGTGGTGTCTCCGGTTCTAGCTTTGGATCTTGACTCCTAGGCTTAAGCCCGTCATTGATTCGCTATGAACTTTGAGATGTTTACACTAAGTAAAGGTTCAAATCGAAAAGATACCTTTATGTATGCGTTACTTGTTCGAGGCATGTATTCTCGACTCTTATTGACTAAGTGGGGGATTGTTAGAGTAGTCAAAGAGTAAAGGAAATACCACATTGGTGGGAGAAAGAAAGTGCAAGTTGTTTTTAAGTTTGTTTTCCACTTTAGTTATTGGATGAAGTGGTTAGTGGGCTTTTGGAAAAAAGTGTGGGCTATTTAATTTGACATATTAATCGCACTACGCACTTTGCACGTTTACGCGACGCGTTCGGATTTGAATTTTTGGCTAATTAATCCATATAATTATTTGAATTTTGACTTTTGTGAAACGACGTAATCCGTCAGAAGGGAACTGCCGTTTTCACTATAAAAGTCTTCTGCAGCCAAACTTCTCGTCCAACGTTCATCTTCTTCTCCTCGTTTTTTCCTTCTCCAAAAACACAAACATAGAAGTCACGAAAGGTGCTGCTTTCTGACTTTGATTGGAGTGACTCCTGGGGGTGGTTTGCCTAAATCCTACCAGCAACTAAGTAGTGGGGGCAAATAAACACTATAAAGAGAGTGATCAAAATCACGCCTTCAATCCGTTTTCTCCATATTGTTTCTCTAACAAGTCCCTCCTGCTGCGTCTTCGTTTCTCGTGCAAAACCCTTGAGCACGCTTGAGATTAGATTCATAGATCACTGTTAGCTTGCATCGTCAACCAAGCAAAGCAAAATAACATAATCCTTTAGTTACCTTTTTTCTCTGTGTGTGTTTTGGTGGATTACATCCATACTGTGTGAGGGCTGAGCCAGTGATATACAAGAAGCTTGAAGAATCTCCTGCTGACGTCGCTCTCCTTCGAGCTTATGTTGGTGACAGACCCACTTGGAGGAACCCCGCCCATCCTTGGAGGCTCGATTCCAACTTCAAACTCACCGGGGTCCCAACCCTGGTCCGCTGGGAGAATGAAGCCATCACAGGCCGGCTCGAGGATCATGAAGCTCACCTCTTCCTACCAAAATCGACGCCCTTCTCTCTTCTGCCAAATAGAATAGGATCCACACTGTCATCGCCCTTTGTAACTGCCATTAGTTGGTGTTCGGCTGCTGCTGCTGCTTTACTTTTGTTGCCTAATAATGGAGTTTGGACTCAACCTCCCAATAATGGAGTTGCTACTGCTAGTGCTATGTATATGCTAGATAAATTGCTGCAGCTCGGGTGATCTCTGCTATCAATGGATTTTGCATTTTGGCTCATTCATTTGACTCTCCATTACTCAATGTTAGTAACTGTGGATACCTTAAAGCTTTAAGTTTAGATTGATCAACAACATGATGAATCCGAGAAGATAACAAATCACGTAATCTCTTCTTCACAAACAACGATCAACAACTAGTTTAGTTTTACTGTTTAACTATTTATCATTGTTCACAAGCAACCATGGATTTACTCTGCCCACTCTTACCCACAACACCATGTGTCTATAACTCAACTCATTAGTCCTGTTATGGGACAATCCAAATACCACATCGGTAATACAAGGGAAGGAACCCTTGTATATAAGTGTCCACCTAGCCCAATTAGTACGAGGCCGTTTGGGGAGGACACCCAAGAGTAAAACCGTGCGGGCTTGGCCCAAAGCGGACAATATCGTACTAATTGAGCACCCCGGTTTAACAAGTGGTATCAGAGCCTGGTTCGGTTCGAGGCGGTGGACGTCAGTTTGGTGGACCCTCATTCAGTGGCCTCGGGATTTGCGATTCGCATCTGTTTGGTGGATCCACGAGAGATCCACGTTTGGGCTTTGGCGGATCAAAGAGAGTTCCGCGTTTGGGAAGCAGATCAAAGAGAGTTCTGCGTCTGGTAAAGTCCTTGTACCGAGAAGCCCATCGATACAAGGCGTCTGGAGGATCAAGATAATCACTGAGGTGAGGACACGAAGTTCGTGGTCCTTGGCTTGAGGGGAGGATTGTTATGGGACAATCCAAGTACCACATCGGTAATATAAGGGAAGGAACCCTTGTATATAAGTGTCCACCTAGCCCAATTAGTACGAGGCCTTTTGGGGAGGACACCCAATATTGTAAGAATTGGTCACTCCTCTCGTACCGTAGTGCATCATGTTTCTCTAGTTAGTAAGCTTGTACTTTTTCTATGCTTGCAGTTGTGGGACCAAAGAGCTGGTACTTGGTAACAACTAGCAAGGAGATCTTCCCATCACTCAGTCTAGAGAGTGGTGGTCCATTGCTGCATGAACAATGCAGGGTTGGATCAAGTGGATTAGAGATGGCAAATGGATTGGATCCATGGATTGGTGGATCCATGAATCAAATGAATTGGATCCAATGGATTGGTGGATTCATGTATTGGATCAAATGGATTGGTGGATTATCCATTAGTCCAAATGACATACTCAACCTTGGACCAATATGTAAAATGTGAAAAATTTTATGTACTAAAATGTCGTAATAAAAAAATTTAGGTACAAAAATGTAATTTTTCAATGATATTTTCGTATACAAATTAATTTTTAGGTACCAAAATGTAAAATATAAAAAATATAGGTACCAAACCGTAATATGTCATTTGGATCCATGGATCAATCCATAAACCCACCAATCCACTTGGATTTGGATCAAATGGATTGGATTTAAATGGATTGGATTAGGTGAATATGTTTAATAGATTGATGGATTGGATTGAAAATTGTCACTTCTAGTTTGGATGCTCTCATCAACGCCTTTGCTGCATGAACACATTAGCAGGCACTCCCAGAAATGGGATTCACACTGTTAGTTGGCCGATGATTGAAAGGCGCAACCTACAGTTGCATGGCTAACGTTAGCTACTTACTACTGGCATAGCTTGCAGTTGCATGGCTAACGATTAGCTACTTAGCTACTAACTCTCGGCTTGTTTGGCTCTCAATGGAAAACCCACCAAAATTCACTTAAATGAACCCTTTATAAAGCCACTCCACCCCAGCTATCGATTTCAGCTTACGCCCACACGATCTCCATTCTCACCGTGTGAGCACCTTGCTCACAAAAGGGCTGTAACCTTTTCGAAATGAAAATGACCCTGCTACTCCACTACTGAGCAGAGGCAAAAATACGATAAGTAGATACATAATTTCGAGTGTGATCAGAAAACCAAAAACCAAACTATGATTGTCTTTGTGCAAAACTAAGACTTTCAGAGGGCGAGCGAAATAGGGGCTGAACGCTAAGCTCAGAGGAGGACATCAGGAAAAGGGCCATTGTGAACTGGGAATTCATCTTAAGTTCACGGAGAACGTCATTATAGCTCTAGACCATTTATTTGTGTCTTATTCCTGCTGTTGAATAAAGGAACAACAGGCAAGTATATTCCACAAATATTAACCTTTGGCTGTTTCTGGCCAAGAATAGAAAAAAGCAGATTAATCTGTTTTGTAGGGAGAGTTGTGTTAGTATTATTCTGTTCTACCCAATACCATTCACCCATTCACACCAAAAGGCAAAAAAAATGCAAGAGTACTAAGTTACTAATGCCTGCCTCATCATCCCTTCATAAATTTACCCAAACACAGGAGCAAACAGTTTGGTTAAAATGGCAAAATCAGCTAGTTGTTTAAGCTTTGGCACCTAAAATGCACATTTGCAGCCTGCAGAGCAGTATCACTTCAGAGAAACACATGACCGTGCCCTTTCTAGACCCAACTTCTCCCGCAATGGATGGAAAAAAGAGGTAATCTTCTGTCTCCATAACTCTTTAGCTGTTCAGTGAACTTCACTAAGCCTTGTTTACTCGAATCTTTTGGCCTTCCAAAGGCTGCAAGTGCATGAAAAGGTCAAACAACTATCAGAATTGAACTAACACAACAACCCTTAACAGGAAAAACAGAACAATTTAAAACAGCATCTGAAGAGACAATGGGTTCAAGTCATAAATAATACTTGCTCCAGAGAATAATGATCAGAAATGAGAATCTGCTGAATTAAAAAAAAGCAAACAAACATAAACATGACACAGAAATGGGTTGAAACTTACAGAGTTGTTGAAAGACGAGATGGCGACATCTACATCCTCATCCGACGAGAATGTGACAAACCCAAACCCACTGGATTTCGAAGTTCCTGGAACTCGAGAAACCTTGGCACTCAAAACTTTAGCCTTGTCAGAAAACAAGTTCTTAAGCATATCTGTTGTCACTGTTTTGGCCAGATTCCCCACGTAGACTTTGTGTGGGCTGTCAACAAATTGGGATTCCTCAGATTGCAAGAGAGGTGATTCTGTTTGTTCCAGTGGCTTCTCAGTGATGTTCACTTTGATCTCCCGTCCACCAATTTCCTGCAGCGAGTTAAAACCAAGAACACTGATGAAATTATCTCTCCAAAGCTTACCGTTCCAACTAGATTCTTGGGTTGGAGACTAGTGAACAAGAAAGAAAAGGCTTACTGTGCCATTCAGCTTCTCAACTACCGCATTCGCATCATCTAAAGTCTTCATTGAGACAAATGCAAATCGACGACTCCTGCCTGAGTACTTATCATACATAACCTGCAACGAGAACAAGAAGAAGAAAAAAACTCATTTTGCGCCAAGGATTAGGTCTTGGATATGCTTATCCCCATTCAAGACTATGCCTTTTCTCCGCCATACTGACAAACGATTGAAAAGAAGTGGTTTATAACTTATATCAGCTAGAATCAAGTTCAATTCAAGCCAACAACCAATTTCATACAAAGGCAACGCAGAAGTCGTTATTTAGGTGCTACAAGCCAGGGGAAATCAACCCAAAATACATTATTTATATGCGTTCAGAAAAACACAGGAGAAGCAAATCACCTCAGCTTTCTCAACAGCCCCATGTTCTTCAACAATTTTTCTGAGCTCCTCGCTATTCACATTCCTCGGGATGTTTCCGACGTACACCCTTCTGGCAGCGGGCGAGGATGGGTCTACAGAAGCAGCAGCTGGTGCGGCTTCTTCAGCTACTGCGCGGAGCCTGGTCGTGGAGCTAAGAACCGCCCGCAGCTGAGGGAATCGGTGAGTTGGGTTGGTTTGATTGTGGATTTGGGCACTGGGTTTCAATTGGTTCTTGGACAAGCGGAGTTTTGCAGTTGTGGGTAACGGTGATAACAGAGATGTTGAGATAGCCGCCATTGTTGGCAAGTAGGCAAAAGGAGAAAGGAAAAGACTTTAGCCTTAGGGGAGCAAAGGGCGATGCAGATTGCAGAGAAGAGGAAAGGAAACCGGAAAGGTCGAAGATAAAAGATTTTATCCACTTGTTTCTCCTCTCTCTTTGAGTATTTTATTATCTTTCTTTCCGTATTTTCTTCTAAAAAATAAAAGAAAAAGACAAATCATTACGTTACATTTTTTTGGATTAAAAACGGGTGTAGATAGGGGTGGAAATCGGTATTCCAATATCAAATATCGTAATCTCGAATATCGAATTACACTCTAAAGTCAATTGCAATCACAATTCCTAAATAATTTCGGTATCCCAATCCCAATCTCTAAATATTTTGGTATCCCAATCGGTACTTCGGTATCCTAATCGGTATTATCAAATACAAAATTAATTACCTTTACAATTAATAATTAAATATATAAATTAAATTTTATTATTTAATTTAGAGAGAAAAGACTAAGCAAAATGTCTTGAATTAGGATATTATTAAGGAGAAAGGAGGAGGAGACATCTCAAGTTCTTGTCATTGGGAATCGTTAATTTGACGAATTGGAGGTTGAGAGACGACTATTAATAGTGATAGAATGATCTATGTATAATTAAATGACACTCTTGGTATTCTAGGGTCGTGTAGTAGTGAATGAGAGAGTCTAGTTGAGAGGATAAAATATACACTAGCTTATATTTCGGTATTGATCGGTATTTCCGTACATACCGATCCCAATCCCGTAATCCCTAATACCGAATAACAATCGAAATTCAATCCCAATCCCAAAGAATAATACGTGTATTCGGTAATACCAAATATATACAAATTCGGTACGGTATTCAGTATATCCCAAATACCGGTACCAAACTTCTAGCCCTATGTGTAGAGCACCAATCCATCTTTTATTGAAATATCAAAGGGTTATAGGTATAATATGCCTCTTTATTATGACGTTTTATCAAACATACCCCTCTACTATTTTTTACATCAAATGTCCCTGTACTTTGAAAAAATTAGCAAACAAGCCATTCTGTTAAATTTTTCATTGAAAAAA